AACAGAAGAGTTTCAGAGCACGTGAAACTGGAGTGTGAAGATCTTCAGTCATGTACTTGTTATATTTAAAGACAATCTAAAAGTCAGCCAGGAGACCCAGTGCACTACCAGAATAAGCAATTTATCACATTAGCGTATCTGTATATAGAAGACAAACGGCAGACATGACGGAACACCTTACCTGTAAAACTGTAAATACTGTGCTGACATGAATTGCAAAATAGAGTACACCCATGACTATACACACAATCAGGTCCGACTGCAGTCGTTCACTCTGGGGAGTAAAAAAAAAAAAGTCGTTTAGAAAATACCAGCGTTGGTTGGCCTCTTCAGATCATTAACGCCCATCAGCAGTAACACTGAAACTGATTAAAGATTTTCAAATTAATTACTCCCCTTGAAGTTACCAGAAATTTCACAAGGTAACTCTTACAGCTAAGAACAGCAGTTTAAATGAGTTAAGTGGAAAGACGCATACTCAAAGTGGAGCAGGAGAAATTTACATACCCAATATATTCTCTCTCTCATTCTGGACTGTGAGGGGGTATAACGATTCCCCTACAGCACTGATGAAGGAGTTGGAAGGGCTAACCAAATATTCCCATTTGTGATACAAGAACTGCTTAGACTATGGGGCAGTTAAGAGCTCTGGAAGACAGACGCCTAGACAGAGCTCAGGACCAGGTGGAACAAGCAGGCTCTTTAACCCTTTTCCCCCTTCCTTTGCAGAAGGGTAAAGGAGAGCTTTGGAGTGACTCCAAGGAATGAGTTTGAATTTTCTGATACCCCTAAGAAATGAAGGCAAGCTGTTTAGAATGGGCAAAAACCAACAAAATCAGTAATGCCAGACTCAGTCACAAGGGGGCAATACGTACTCAGGGCCACTACAACTCACAGTCTCCAAGTTTAGTCCTGTTTTCACTCTGCAAATACAGCATTAGCATTTTCAGCCCAGGAAGTCAAAGGATTAACTACTCCAAAATCAGCCAAATAATTACACACAGCAATTACTGCTGCAACGTCTTGAGTTCCTGAGATTCAGTGTTAGAAAAAAAAATGAGTTGTAAGAAATTCATCTAGGTGTTCCTGCTCCAGCAGGGAGATTGGACTGGATGATCTTTTGAGGTCCCTTCCAATCCCTAATGTTCTGTGATTCTGTAAGAAAGAAGTTATCAGAATACTCAGCTCTCCTGCCCCCTTGGTGACTAACACCACAGCTGGGGAGCTAAAGAGGAGCTTGCAGCACCTGTTTAATACTGTTAAGTATTAAAAGAATTGCAGTTTCTCTGCTCTAAATACTTACTTGCAGTTTCCACACACAGCACCTTGTCACGCTTGTGCCTGCTGTGCTAGGAGAAACCCATCTATATTGCTATTCCCCTACAGCTGAGCCCTACATGAGGTTAAATGAATGTTCAACCTTCTTTGGTGCAAGTTAAACATACTGAGCTTAAGTCTTTCACTTACTGCTCCACTGTGTGAAAAAGACTGTTTAAATAATCCTACTTTAATAAATATTTAGAGTTAAACTAATAAAAATGCAAAGTATGTGCTAAAGTAAACGGAAAAGGTTACATCTGCTCTTTAATTCTCTCACGCACCTTCCTCTGAGTAACTTAAATAAGCATTATACACTTAGTGCAGTGCACTGGTTCACCTGCAGATTTAAAGGGAACACTGACAGCCATTCTAAGGACCACCATTATAATTAACAAGTGGTGTGAGCCAAGTAAGATGCAGATTGATGCTGTGCAAACCAACACAAAGTAAATGCTTAGACTGAATTTTAAAAAGTTACTAACAATTAAAAAGCCTACTTACCACAGAATTTCTAAGCTTTTCAGGTAAAGGATCTTTTACTTCAGACAGAGGATCCTCAGGGTTTTTGTCTTCAGAATTAGGAAAAAATTTTGATTGCACTAAAGAGCTTAACGAAAGACAAAAAAGAAGCCACTGAAAATCTCGTATTGTTCCATGTGGTTTTAGACAAAGTCAAAAGTTCCATTACATGTTGATTATAAAAAAAAAAGAATCCTGGTATATTAGTGCTTTCACATGGCTGAGCAAATTTACAAAGACAAGATCCTAACTTTATAAAAGAATTAGTTCTCTGGCTGCACGCAATGATCACCATTAAAGACAAGTAGCCAGATGCTGTTCACAGCAGCTTCTCCAGAACTAACAGGAGTAAAACTGAACAAATACTGCATTTTAAGTGGCGTTCTTAGTACTCATGAAGAAAAACTTTATTTCATAAATAACTGAGCAGAAACGTACCCCGGTGCAAAGTTTAGAAGTGGTATGTTTGTCAACATCAATTAGCAAATCGAGATCTCCTTATTTTAATTCACACTTCAACAGCAACTAAAAAAAGTGATACTACCCTGATTAATGAATGAATGGGCCACGTTGACCAAGCTACTAAATTCTTAGCAGACCTTGCTCATACTAAAGCTCCAGAAGCTTACACCTTAGCTTTCAGAAGACAATATGCAGCATCTAAGTGTCTTGTTACCCCCAATGTAATTTTTCTTACAATACCCTACGTGGCACACAGATACGTATTATTTCATTGTATGAATAGGAAGCTTACTACAGAATGAGCCCTGAATCCTCAAAGGCAATTACATATTGCAATGCTTAACTTTTTCACATCCGGCTAAACAGGTGAACCTGCAGGTCAAACATAAGCATCCAGGCTATCGTACTTGGAAAGAACAAAAGAACAGGAATCCAGGGACAAGGACCTCATACCAACTGAGTAAAGTCACCTGAACAGGACAAAGTTCAGTTGCCAACCCAAAGATAAGAAGTTTCCTTCAGTGTGAACGCTCACCAATCATTAATCTCCCTGTTCACAGAAGGGGGCCATCGCTAGCTAGCCCAGACTACTGCTTATCAGATTTATCCAACATTATGGCTACATTTAAATCCAAGTTCAAGCTCTGCCTAACCCAGGTAGGCGACTGAGCTTCCATTGGCTGTTCTGTGGGAGGCGTTTCGCCTACTGTAACTATTTTGTTTTACAGACATAATTATTAACTGAGTCAGAAATACTCTCATCATCAGATCAATACTCCAACTCAGAACAGCAACATGAGTATGTTTCCCCGTGCTGGATGGGAACAGTCATCACCAAAACAGATCTTTATTTTTTTTTTGCATCTGAGATGAAATTATTTGAACGAGTGCTCTGAGCGTACACCCAAGATAAGAATATGGTAATGAATTAAGTGATAGAAACAGTTCAAAACATCCACATGTGGGCTTCAACTTAAAACCAGGGCTTTGAGCACCTCTTTAAATACAGAATGAGCACAAGTTGTTCAGCACAAATGCACCAGAAGAAAGATGGCATGACTGGCATTCTGGAGAGCATCAGCAGGCAGATCAATCAGATTTTGGCATGTTAAGTGATTCATCAGCAGTCACAAAGTCAGGCTGTCATTAGAGAAACTAGGTGCAAAATTGGAGATTTTCTCTTTAACTGCTGAAC